GCTCAGCCCTGCAGACTCCAGGTGAAAATTAAACCCATTCCAAGCTAGTCAGGGTTAATGACTCAGGTAATAAGCTCATGGATCAAGAGAGAGTGATGAGTAGGAAACTATTTATTATGAACCCACCCCTGGGGCAGGAAACCACAGACCAGAGCAGAGTCCCAGGTGAATTGTTAGAGTGAGCAGAGTGGATCTTGGGTCTTGCACTTGAATTGATGATCCTGAAGACAGGCATTCACTTTGTGGTCAGTGTTTCAGCCAAGTACAGATGAGATATCACGCCTTGTTGTACTCAACAGACGCTCTGTGGTCAGTGCTTGGCTATCAAGCTAAAACCAGAGCCATCCATCTCGCCAAAACCTGCAAGTCAGAAATCCGTGATACCGGCACTCGCCATCAGGGGAGGTGAAGTGCAAAGCACATCCCGCCCTGCAGATGCAATTGGTGAATTGGAACAAGTTGTTGATGAGGGTGGAAGGAATTCAGACCGGTCGTAGAGCTGCCCAGCTACCATGGAGTGCGACTCGTATGGCTCAAACCTACTGGGCGAACGGGAGTGGCTGGATAGGCCGCTGGGATACTGAACGGTTTGCTGCAGAACTAGGAACGCCAGGTTCAGTTGTAAGGAGACTGGCTAGCAAGCAAAGGCAGAAATAGGCGATTTAGTCACCCAGCCTGCTTTGCTGCTGTTTGTGTTTGAAGTGTGTGTGTGTCCAGCTGAGTTATCACCAGTGCCAGGCCTGGCTTTCTGGAAGGGAAATGCCGAGGGTTCCCCCATGGGCGACAGAGCAGGAGGAGCAGACTTGCTGAGCAACGGCCTGAAGTGCCCACACTGTGACTCCACCTGCACATCGGAGCTTGTCTCTGCCAGCGTGGCCGGTGTCCAGCTCCCCTTCCCGGCTCCGGCCAGGCCGCGGCCGTGGAGGTGCGAGATTGTCCCCTCTCCTTTCAGATCACCATCTTCGAGCTGGAGAATTTCCAGGGCAAGAAGCGTGAATTGACAGAGGAAACTCCGAATGTGACAGAGGAAGCTCTGGAGAAAGTGGGATCGATCCAGGTAGAATCAGGCCCGTAAGTACAGAGAGCAGACGGATGAGCCCCACAGAGGTGGGGGGCAGTGCCCTTCAAATGCAGGAGGGGAGAGGGCAAGGCCCCCCACAGCAAAGGAGGAGGATGAGTTTCTTGCTAACAGGGCCCTTGTTCTGCACCCTTGAGACGAGTCTGGGAAACACAAGCCAGGTGCTGGGAGTGAAGGGACCATGCAGCCCCAGGCAGCAGGAGGCTCGGCTGGGCTGTGAAGACCCTCCCCCAGACCTGTGCGAGGGGCTGACCCTAGGAGGCAGGGATCCCGTGCAGTTGTGGGGTGCTCGGCTTGTTAAATTCCATCCCGCTCTGAGGCTGCCCGCAGCAGCTGCTGCCAGGGGAACCCCCCGCCCCAGTGTGGGGGATGTGCGACACACCCCCTGAAAAACCCGGCCCCGTCCTGGCCAGCAGCCGGGAGAGGAGGCGGGGGGGGAGCCCCGAAGTGGGAGTCCCCACGCCCTGTGTCTGCGTACCGCCCCAGCGCTGACCGGCCTCTCCCTGCAGGTGGCTCGGGTTCGAACGCCAGGCCTTCTGTGGGGAGCAGTTCGTGCTGGAGAAGGGAGCCTACCCGCGCTGGGACTCCTGGTCCAACAGCCACAGCAGCGACAGCCTGATGTCCCTCCGCCCCCTGCTGATTGTGAGTGGGGCCGGCGCGGAGCTGGGAGGGGGGACAGCCCCAGAGAACCCCTTTGAGGCGAGCCAGAGGCGTGGGACCCCCTTGCTGGGAGTGGGCAGCGAGGGTGCCCAGCAGAGGCTCAGGATGGGAGTTAACAGCCCCCAGGGGTTGTCCTGAGCCTGGGGCCCCACGTTGCTCAGTGAGATGCTTCTCCTGTGAGCCCTGCCCTCGAGGGGATGTGCTCCCCAGAGCTATTTCGTGTCAACTTAAACCCCCTCCCTTCTCGGCCCCCACCACGGAGCCTGGGGAAGGAGCCCCCATTTCCTGACTCCATTCCCCGACATAGCTCCGCCATGAGCAAGCTCAGGGGGCTGGGGCCTGCCTCTCACCCGTGTCTCGCACAGATGCGCACGTCAGCTGGAAGGGTGGGGGCCCTTTGCTCCTCTGCGTTTCTTTGGCCTTTGGCAGCTTTGTTCCCAGCTCCTGTCGGCCAGCGGAGCCTGGGATCTCTTGAGGTAGCACCAGGCTGGTCTGGATCCCACCATGACGCTCCCACGCGCTGCGGCGTGTGTGATTCTCAGCCCAGAAACAAGCCCTGGCATCTGCCAGGCCACCCATGCCTCCTGCTCCATCCAGTCGGCGCTGGCTGGGTGTGGAGGCTCTTCCCGCCCTCGACAGCCGGGGCATGCAGGGTCACTTGGGCATTCAGCCCCCGGTGATCTCTCCACAAGGTGGGCAAGCGGGGGTGGCTTGGCCAGCTTCTCCCCAGCAGGCAGGGCAATGGGAGAGCAGCTTGCTGGATGTCTCCACTGCAGGACAGCAACGAGCACAAAATCCACCTGTTTGAAAACGCCGGTTACAGCGGGAGGAAGATGGAGATTGTAGATGACGACGTGCCAAGCCTCTGGGCTCACGGGTTCCAGGACCGGGTGGCCAGCGTCAAAGCACTGAAGGGAACGTAAGGGCAGAGACCCCCTGGGCCAGCCCCCAGCTCCAGGGCAGCCGGTGTGAGACGCTAGCAGCCAAAGCACCGCTGTTACTCTCCCGCTGAGCTGGGCGCTGGATGTACACACACTAGGAGACACACGCTGCCCCAGAGAAGTGACGTGCCAATTACAGACATGATGCAGCGGGTGGGTGGAGCGCAGGGTGCGGGGTCAGGGCCAGGGCTGGGGCCGAGGACACATGGTTACATAGACTAGCGCAGGTTTCAATCAATAGCTAAATAAAGACCTGCCACCCCTGTCTGAGGGGCTTGTGGTGCCTGATACAAACTGTATCCAACTCAGTGAGCAGGGGTGAAAACTCTGCCCTAACCCCTAGCAAGCCATCAATCAAACCACCCGCACCAAAGAGAGACAGAAGCAGAATGTGCCCCCTTTGCCCAGGTCTGGCAGCCTTCAGGGCCTGGAGCTGGCCGGTCAGTGATGGCCCGGAGGCTGGACAGAGCACCTTCTTGGGGGCATGGGCTACACCCAGGCTTTGCACGGCAGTAACTGCCTGGGGGAGCTCTACGGTGGGCGCAGAGATACAGATCCCAGGTGCCTAGAGCTCTTTTCCCGGCCCTGGGCGAGGGATCACACAGCTTTGTCTTTGTTTCTGAGTCGGCTGTGGGTGCCCCAGCTACGGGGCCAAGAGCCCGAACAAACCGATGGAAGAAGGAAAGCAGGGCCGCATGCCTCGGGCAGGGGACTTTCCTGGCTGGGTTTGCCCTGGCGGCTAGGATCATGGTTCAGTGCTGGTCTGTTCTCAGACTTCGGCTGCAACATCTCAGTCCTTCCCCATCCCCAGCCTCCTGGCCCTGCCTGACCGAAGTCAGGGCGAGTGAGAACTCCTCACTTTGGGGGGGTACATTCCACTGGTGTCCCTGGGCTGTTGGGGGGTGGGGGGTGTCACTTCCTGACCTGCTGATGCCTGCCCTGGGAAAGGGAAGTCCCTATGGTTCTGGTCCATGTGGGTGGGTAGGGGTAGGGGCTGCTGCCCATTCTCTGCGCCCTGCTGGTTCCTGGGGCATAACACACACACCTGACCTCCCCCAGACCTCCTGCCCCTTCCTTACTGGGCATGCCACCATTCCCTCCTGGAGCTTTGGGCATCTGCCATTCTGTGCTTGCTGTGGCCTTATTTAGCAGCTGCACCGTGACACCCTCCCCCCCAAGCAGGGGTGCACAGGACAGCAGGAGGCCTGAGCAGAGCTGGGCTGATGGGGGAATGGCCCTTGGCCTCCAGCTCTGCTGGGGCAGCAGCAGGTCGACATGGCCTTTCTGTGGATGCAAAGAGCAGCTCCCCCCCCCCACCCACAAGGCGGGGGAGAGAAGGACCTGGACTTGTATTGCAGGTCCCTGCATGAGTTCGGGGGCAGCCTCCCCCTGGGCCTGATCTCTCTCCCTGTCGTCATCGCTGGAATGGGAAATGGCTCCAGCCCATCTGGGAATGATGCTTATGCCTTTAATTATCCCCTGGCATGAGCCACGGACAGGTTCCCCGGGACGACAACTCTTGCTGTTGAGCACCAGGTCCATGCAGCTTTGTTGTCCCCCGGGGTGCCAGGCTGGCTCCGGGTGGCGCGGGCAGCCAGGGAAAGGCCCGACCTCCGCAGGAAAGCATGTGCTGCCAGGACCTGGGTGTGCAGTACGGTGTCTCGGGGGGCAAGGCCAGGGAATGGTGCTGAGCTGCCCCCCCCCCGCATTTTGCGACATGGGGTGAAATAGAGGGCTGGCCCGACGGGCACCCAGGGTCCAGCGGCAGTGCGGGAGGGAGGCAACATCATCTATCCCTGCGACTGCTTCCCCCGTCGCTACCGCTGAGCCTGTTCCAGCCCCCGTTAGCCTGGCTCGGCCGGGCCAGGCAGGTCCCACGCTGCCCAGAAACTGTGTTCATGTAGCCAGCTAGGCCCTTGGCGTCCTGGGGCCCACGCTGGGGGCTGGAGCCAGCACCTGCTCCGTGGCCGGGGCCAGCACAGCCCCGGGGGAGGCACCGGGCGCGTACGTGAAGCAGCGACGCTGTGGCTGGGAGCCAGGGCTGCCCCCGCTGGGGAGTTTGCCTGGAGCTCCCGTCTGCCGTGCTGAGGGTTGTCTCCCTCTCCCGCAGGTGGGTGGGCTACGAATACCCCGGCTACCGAGGCCGCCAGTACGTCTTCGAGCGGGGCGAGTACCAGCACTGGAACGAGTGGGACGCCAGCCAGCCCCAGATCCAGGCTGTGCGCCGCGTCCGGGACCAGCAGTGGCACCAACAGGGCTGCTTTGAGGCCAGCTGAAGGGGACGCCGGCGCCTTGCAACCACGGCCGAGGAAGAGGAGGACGACGTGATTTATAACCCGCCGTGTTTGCGCCAAACCTTCTCAATAAAGCTCAGAGCTGGAGGCTGCTGTGGCCTGGCTTGTCCCACTGCTGTGTTCGCAAGTCGGCCGCTGGGCCAGGGCTGTGTCCTGGGGGCAGGCGCCAACCCTGCGGCTCTGAGAGCTGCCCTCCTTGCCTCCTGGCATCGCACAGGGGTTCCCGGCCTGGGGGGGGGCACGACCACCCTGCCCGAGCGGGCTGGGGGCCTGGCTAGATGTGAGGGAAGCCCAGGATGGGAAAGGCTGAGAACTGCTGAGCGCTGCCTTCTCCCCACGCGGGCGGGCCCCACAGCACAGGCTAACGGAGCTTGGCCTACGTGGGCTGCCATGTGCAGCCGGCCCGACATGTCCTCCTGGTGCTAGGGCCGTGTGGGAGGTACCTGCGGCCCCAGACACATCCCTGGGGCGTGTTCCCCATCGCGCCACAGCGTGAACCCCGACCAGCGTTGGCCCTGATGCCAACTCAGCTGAGGCCTCCGTGATGCCCGGAGGGGGGGCAGAGCAGCTGTCTGGGCGGCTAGACTCTCCAGCAGCAGATTGTGCCCAGCAAGAAGCGATGGAACAAAAGGGAGAAAAGAACCATCGTGCGCGTCGTTACATAAAGGCTGCAGTGTTCCAAAAATAACACCCCTTCCGCCGCCGCTTCGCAGAGCTCACGCTGCCTGCCTGCAGAACGAGATGGCGACCCGAGCGCCTGCTCCGGGGGATGCATCGTGGGCACCTCCTCGCAGCTCCTGGCACGCTGCTTTGCATGTGATATCCGAGAGCGGGGTCTCTGCAAAGCGCAGCTGAAAGGGTTGCAAAGGTCATAGCAGACACCCCGGCGTTTGCCTTTCGCTCTCGCCCTCGGGGAAGGCCAGCTGCGTCTGCACAGCCCCTGAGTACAGAGCGATGCTGAATTATCTGAGTGACTATAAATCAGGGTGCCGTCGCTGTGGCAGCTCACAGAGCGACCACGCGGGGGAGATGGGAACGCGGGCGGTTTGCAGAGCTCGGTTACCGACGGCCAGCCGAGGTACCTGGCTGCGGAGAAGGGGGCGGTGCAAGAACTGCAATTTCCCCACATTTCGGGCACAGCTACTTGCATTACAAATGATCCCAGGCTGTTTTAGGATGGGACTGCCCCTCTCAAGCCGCTTGGCTTGCGTGGACTGCATGGGGAACGCTAAGTGGGTCAGTTGACCAGTGTCGAGATGTTACTCTGAGCACCGTGTGGCATTACACCCCGTATTCCTCCCAGAGCTAGTGTTATAATATGATTATGGCATAACTAAGATGTATTTTACACAAGATGGGTCATGTGAGGTGTCCTTGGAAAGACTGATCTACTGACTACGATTATCCTATGTGTATGCATGTGTCCTTTTTGTATCTGAAGTTAGAAATATTGTCCTTGTAACTACTACAAATGCGTTTACACTTGGGGAAGGCCCACTAGACCGAGTGCAATCAGTCTAGATTGCTGGTTGGAAGGGCCATTAGGGAAAACAACAGGTCTTTGACGATGCTAATCTCCCACCTTCCTGGAAAGCCTCCTTGGGGACGCTGCAAACGGCCCTTGTGTTATGGCTGCAAGATCACGTGAGCAAGTCACCTGATACTGGACTCTATGAATAATGCTGACCAGTGGTGGGAACCACACTGGAAGACAAAGGATTCCCGCCATATGTAAAACCTATTTAAGGCAGGGGAGTGATATAATCAGGGTTTGTTCTTCACTGAATCCTCGACCAAGATGAGTGCTGTAAACACCTAAGAAACAAAAACTTGTTTTTTTCCTCTAAAACCAGTTTGTGGAATTCATAACTGGAGGGGGAGGGGAGGATCTGTGCCTATCTTCCTCCACATTGAGGGAGGGGGCGAATGTCATGAATTTACACGGTATCGTTCTCTGTGCAGTGCAAGACGATACAATTTTGGATTTACACCCAGAGGGGGGTGTGCTCTTGAGTGCTGGGCAATTTCTTAGCTGAGGCTTTCCATGCAGAGCTGATTTCAGAGTCTGTGTGTTTCTGCAGCTGGGTGTGTTCCTGTGTGCTGGGAAAGTGCAGTCTGAAGGCTGAGGGAGGGCTTGGCTGGCCTCCTTCAGCAGTACAGTGTAAAGGGAGCCCAGGCTGGTGGGTCAGGCATGCGCAGTGATACCCTAGTTCCAAGTAGCACCCTGGGGGGAACCCGTCACACACAGGCTGCCAACACCTGCAGGGAGAGCCCGCAGCAGGAATTTGCAGCAGGGTTGTGCCCCCGCCCATCAGAGCAGGGAGCGTCCTTTGGCAAGACATGTGTCCAGCTGGCTGGCGGCAGAGTCCCTCAGAAGGAGAGAGGGGATGGCGGAGTGGGTACTTTGGTGCAGGCCCGAGATTCATCTCTTTTCTAGCAGCTGGGCAGCTCAGTGCACTGGTAGTGGGAGGAGGAGCCTTTCACCCGAGTCTGCCCAAGGCAGAGCCACCCGAAATGGTAACGTATCGAGGCCTGTTCTGGTTCCTCCGAAATGGGCAATTTCACTGGCACTAGAGGTTGCCAGGCAACAGCCTCAGCTGGCAGGGTTCTTCACCCCACGGTTCCTGCCTGACAAGAGGGTGGGGAAAGCCCGAGAGGTGCTGAGCAACCTCGATGCCCACTGAGTGCAACGTGGCACCTTGCAGCATCGCATCCGCGACCACCCTAGCATGGAAACGGCAAGCGCCACGCGGGACGCCATGCGGTACCGTTACTAACTCACCCAGGCTTGGTTTAACAACAGCGGCCCCTCTCTAGCAGGAGGGCACGTCTCCTCTGCCTGCCAGGAGACCCATGGGTCCTGTGCAAAGCAGATTCTCTCTGGGGGCCCCAGATTGCGTTGACCAGACCCAGGCTACAGCAATGTTACTTGCTCGGGGGCTGGGGGAAGCTGCATTCATGTCAGAGACCCAAAGGAGGAAGGGGTTTCATACAGAGCCGGTAACAATTCCACTGGTCACCTGCCTTCACTGCTTAGCTTGTTCCCAAGTTCTTAGCCCTGAGTTGGCATGAGGACCTACTATACTAAATGAGCAGATTGATCTCCTGCGCCTGAGAGAAACAGGAAAGCAAATTACTGTCTTGCGCCCTTATGGAGATGAAGGGAGACCACGCGGCAGAAAGAGGAGAGAACGAGACTGTGTACAAAACGTGCTGCAGCACAAAACTCTGCTACAATATCAGTGCCTTTATCCAGCATTTCCTTCCTCCTTGTGCTTAATTTGCACCAGGGCTGAGCCCCAGTGCCCCTGGGCCTGGCAGTTCAGGGCCCTGTCGCCTCTGGGCTTGCTGCACCAGTTACAAAAGCAAAAGAATTGCTTGATCCCTGGCACCTTTCTTTACAAATTAAGCCCAGCTTCTTCCCCACATATTTGCCTGTCAGTGGCAGGAGCCATTAAAAAGATGGTCAGAAACGACCTGCCTATGCCGGGGAGCGTCTTGCTAGCCCAGGCAGTTCATAAGGTACCAGATATTTAAACCACACCACTCTGGTTCCCTCCACCATCACCCCCCACCTGAGTTTCGTGGCAATCCCCCTGAGAATATTGGCTGCTGTGCAAACCCTCCGAGAGCCTTCCCGCCCACTTCTCACGTGGCACAAAGGGCGGCACTGAGCTCCTACGATAGGAATTTTTCTCACTGCGTGGCTATAGCACATGGGCAGGGACCGGACTCTCTTCTTGCTCATAACAGTCTTAGCTGGCATAACGCCATCAACTTCAACTCAGTCACATTGGTGGCAGGGAGGGGATTTAGGTTGTTGGTTTCTTGATGGAATCCCTGAGAAGTTTCTGGTCCTAGCACGGACACTTCTTTGTTTGCTCACTAGTGACTTGTATCCAAAACAAAGGTCAACATCGGAAAGGCGGCTTTCCTGCCAGCCCTTCCAGGATGACATGTCCATGCAATTGCTGGTCTCTGGCTTTGTTCAGAGGCGCTCGCATGGATGTGTTTCAGGTTTATTTCCACTGACCCATCACCTTGGCTCCACGCAGAGGTGCTGAGCTTTGGGAGTTGCTAGGCTGTAGTGAGAGGCTCAAAAAGGAGTTGACAGAGAAAAAGATCACGTTACCCAGCATGAGGCATAGTTACGATGCTTGCTAGGCCGGTTAGTTAAAAGAAGTGTTTGGTTTTTTTTTAAGAGAAATCATCTCTAATTTTGCATCCACTGCCCCTCTGGCGGGGCACGCTGTCCAGTGGCATTCCAAGGAGCAGCTGTTGGAATATACTTTGCTATAAGGCCTTCAGTCCTGAAGAATCCAACATTGGGTTTCACCAACTGTATGTCTCTAGCGCTGCTGAAATGCAGCCACCTCTGAGGCAGAAGGGAAAGCCACCTGTGTTCTGCAGACCTGATTCTAATCTTCCTTACGCAGTGTGACCCAATGGCACTACTCCAGATTTACACCAGTGTCACTGAGATTAGAATCTGGTCTGTTGCTTTGTTTTGCATCCTGGCTCAGAAAGCACTGGAAAGTACTAGGTTTACACGTCCGTCTCCTCCTTGTCCTAACACACAGCACACCACAGCCATCCCTGCCCCACTTTGCGCTCTCGGCGCTATGTTTAAAGCATTACATCCACAGCTTTCTCTTTCTGCTGAAAGTAATGACTTTGGCAACAGTAGACATTTACTGTTTGTTTGAAAGGCCCAGTTATTTACTGTGCACGCAGCCAGCCGACTTCAGCAATTTTTGTACTTCTAACCATGGGGCGGGGATGTCAGTTTGTTACAGGGATAAAGTCTCTGGCTCCAAAAATCCTGAAGCAGGGCTGGCGGTCGCATTCTTTGAAAGCGAGGGTCTAGGGCCTGGCCTGCGTTCGGCTGATGCGTGCAAACTCTAAATCTCCTGGCCAACCCGCCCAACAAAGCAGGCTGCTTCGAATGTGAAAGCTAATGAAATAATTCTGCAGCTGGGGGTTTAGCGAGACAATGGCTGCTGGGGATCAGCTGACCTTGGTTTTCGTTGAGCTTTTATCCAGCATTCTCCCTTTGTAGCATGCTTTAACTGTTTTGTAAATAGTTTTGGCACCATTCTGCTGAGGCGCAGTATAAATTCTGCTGCTCGGCTGCAGCCCCTTCACTGGCTCAAGCGGGTACTGGTGTAACTGGTAAGAATTTTCTATTTATTGTCCTTCTTTTGGTTTTGGTTTGGTTTCCACTGCAATCCAAAGCCGCATGTCTGAAGACTAACCTACTATCCATAGCATTAATACAATAAAGAGATGCCCAGCACTGTGCGGGGGTGTATGTCCAGGAGGGTGAATAAGAGAGGATACCAATGTTTTGGTCCCATACAGCAACAATGATTTCATGACTGGTCAGGAGCCTGACCCTTATTGAATTAAATTTTAGCAGGTATCACTTGTTTCACATAACTTCGAGCCTACTCAGATGTGGTGGCTTTGAAAATTCCTTGTGTTTGACCATTACCGGGCACGAGCTCCTTTCAGGGGAGACTGTCCTGGGAGGGGCAGAGAAGGACGTGCTGCCACTCCATCCTGCTCAACGATGCTGTGTGCCACACACCGTCGGCAGCTCCGTTGGTGCCAACCAGGGAAGCTGGGATTTGTCTTTCCTGGACACACAGTCCCGGCTACCCTGCGGGTTGGGATCTCCCTGGGGTTTAAATTGCTGAGGTGGGTGGTGGAGAAAGCTTCACAAACTTGAACTGCTTCAGCCAAGCCCTTAAATGTTTAGGCAAAGCCCATGTGGTTCACCCCTCCTGCATTGTTGTTAATATTGTTTGGGACAAAATTCGGAGGGTCTCATGCAAGCTTTCCTCAGGCCAACTGCAAGTCAATTCCCCTTGATTTCACTGGGAGTTTGCCTGCGTAAGGACTGGCCAGCAGCTGAAGGGGCTCTGAGCTGAACTCCCAACTGAAACCAATGGAGACTTTGTAATGCTTGATGGCGCAAGATGGGCCTGGACTGGGCTTTGGCCCCAAACCAAAGCAAGTCAGTGCACAGATTGTCACCTTCCTTACTCTGCCATGGAGCCAGAGACTCATGTCTGAAGAATACAGGACTCTGACTGATGGGGTACGAAGGCTGGAGAGTCCTACAGGGCGAAGCCAGTTCACTCCCGCCCCCGCACCAGGGTCCCGCTGCACTGCCCTTGTGACTCTAAGGTGGCGTGTGTTAGCACACTCGCTTTTGTTGGGCAAGCACTAATTATGTATATACAGAACCAATGCTATAAAAGGCACTTGCCTCCAGCCTTTCCATAGCACCCAGGGAGCTGCAGTTTGTAGTTTTTGTTCCCACCACGATCCCTTTGCAGCTGGTTTGTAAGGTCTCTCTCCCCACTTTGGATGAATCATTGTATTCTATGCAAGCCCAGAGCTTTAGCACAAATTCCAGCACCAGGGAATTCTTCCCATCACAGAGATACAGTTCAGATGGGTGAAGGAGGCCCTCCCCCACCGCTGGGCCTGCTCCACCTGGATTCAAGGGAAACCGTGCTTAGAAACCCCCAGTGTTGGTAATTCCAGTGGGTTCCTCGGGCGTTTATTGGCCAATCAAGTGAAGGGGGAGGATAGCCGCAGAGCACTGGGCTGGGGGGGGATGGGTGCGGATGTATGAACCCTAACAGGATTCCGGTTATAATGATCAAGACCAACGTTTAACCATTTGAGTTTCCCTCCCAGGTGCTCAGTTTCACAATGGCGTCAGACCATCAGATGCCAGCCTCTAAGCAACAGCAAACCAGCTCCAAGGTCAGTATGCGTTTCTCTTAACGCTGTGCGGTGAGTGCTCTGTGCAGCAGCTGAGTCTGTACCGTGATATGGTCCCAAGAAGCTTAAACGAGTGTATGTGTAAAAATGTGTGTGCACCTATCCATTGCCCCAATTCCGTGCATGCCGGGAGGTGCTCTCCCCTCTTCGAGGGAGCAGGCTGGAATACAAACGGCTGAGCTGCTTAGAACGCCTTCCCCTAAGCAGCAGCTGCTTGCCCTTGTACCTAAAAATTCCCTCTGCCTTTCATATAGCAGTTAGGAATGTGCCATCCCATAAGCAGCTGCTTAGCATTCATGGCAGCACCAAATGCCCTCACCTCCTCCCCACCCAAAGGCTCTCCTCCAGGATGCAAGATCCAGAGCTGTGGGACAAAATAAAGAGGCTTCCCCACTCCAGCTGCTCCCAGTTCAGTAGTAAGCAGCTTTCCAAGCCTTCCCCGTGGTGTTGGGGCCTCTTAGGAAAGCATGAGAGCAAGTGACCTATTGACCAGCCATTCCTAAGGGGGGGCCCCCCCAGGGAAAATATATAAATCCTGCAAATGTAAATACAGCAGCACTTTGCAAAAAGTAATTCCTAAACCTGCCTGTATATAAGGAAATGAGACAGTGCCCCAAGATTAGCTTCTTTGAGCCCGGTACTGTGTCAAACATTTCCTTTGATCTGCATACTGATGGATCTGACTTGTCAGAGCCAGGAGAAATACCAGGAAGGGGGATTTTCAGGAGGCTTGGGTGGGGGGCGGGGGGTAAGGTGGTGTCAGAGCTATTCAGTGTTGCTAATTCTTGTGATTTTATCGTAAGTCTCCCAGGGGTATTTGGTGTTTACCTTTAAGGCCCCAGCTCCTGGAGTCTGGGCTCTGGGACGCTCCCACCTCACAGGGTCCTAGAGACCGGGCTCCAGCATGAGCCCAAATGTCTACACCACCATTATACAGTCCCTTAGCCCGAGTCAGCTGGCGCGGGCCAACCGCCAGTGTCTCATTGCAGCATAGTAAAAGGTGTTAGAAAAGGGATTGAGTCCTGTATGTGGGAGGGGGAAAGCCCCGACCTCACATTACCCTCATCTTGGGACCCAGGGACTCTGTGAACTCTGACTTCGGGGTGACAATCCTGCTCAAGTCGGCAGGTACTTTTCCCTCATTCGGGGCCTGATCCACCCCCTACAGAAGTGGCTGGAACGGCTGCCATTGGCTTCAGTGGAGTTGGCTCAGCCCTCATCCTCTTTCGGGTGCAGACACCACACATTGTCCTCTCTCTGCTCCACTGACCCACAAACGTGTGCTGACCGGACAGAGCCCGGCTCACCGGACGACGTGTTAGTACGTAACGCCCACCCCGAAGCCCCGGGCTCTGTCGCTGGGGCTTGAATCGCATTGGCAAGGAAAGGTTGCCATAGCCGGAGTAGATCTGTGACTTGAAAGCCAATTGTTGAGGACGCTCAGACAAATTTGAAAACCCAGCCATAGCCGATAATTTCATTGCGAACTGTGGGCTCAGCACGGGGCATCTGGGTGCTGGGAGGACGTGGCTGAGTTGGGGAATTCAGAGAAGAGCTACAAAAATGACTGAGGTCCATGGTAAATGGGCTAAGTGATGCCTGCTCTGAGTTCACGAAAGATAATGGAGTTGGACCGGGGCTGAATTTGGCCCAACTTTTATAATTTGGGGCAAATAACCACCAAAGAGACCTAGAACACTCTGCAGGGACCAAGACCAAGGAGTGGGTTCTTTGGGGTAGTTTGTAACTCAGAGAAATGGAAGAAACCAAAGTTCAGGAAGGGTATCCAGAGCCCTCCCCCAGGGCCATGCTGGGAGTCACTTGGCACTTTTAAAGGAGCCCTGGGCCAAACACTTGAAGATGCAGCAAAGACTCTTGCCCTGGCTGAGGGATGTGGGCTGAATGGACTGGTGTAAATGGTGCTTTTCCAGCTCTAACCTCCACCATCCCAGGTGTGAACAGAATCGATGGGGCTGCCAGAGTGTCTCCTCCCTACACTGGCGAAGAGAAATCACAAGGGAACGTGCTGTAGGGAACAGTCCTGCACCAACCCCTGTGCTCGCGGGCAGGATGGACGGCAGGGCTTCAACCCCCGTTTTCTAAGCTGCTGTTCTCTCTCTCTCTCTCTGGGTGTCAGATTGTCGTCTTTGAGCAAGAGAATTTCCAAGGTCGCTGCCATGAACTTAACGCAGCTTGTTCCAATTTGAAGGAGGCGGGAATGGAGAAAGTTGGCTCCATCCTAGTACACTCTGGACCGTACGTACCTTGCACATGGGATGGTGGGAATGGAAGCACTTGTGTGAGTCTGGGCCAGTAGATGTGTCAGACGGGGGGAGGGGAGGTTGTGATAGTGGCTTAGAAACAACTGTTCAGCGTAAAACAAGATCAACTGAAGAAGTAAGTTACTTAATGGACGTCCCGTCCCTCTCCCCCTGCCCCCGCCCGGGCTTCCCCAGCCGGGAGAGGTCCCAGCAGTTGAAACTCTGGGTGGAGTTATGGAAAGAGACCCCCTGAACACCTCCTAGGCTGACAGATGCTGGGCCAGACTCAGCCCTCATTGATGCCCTCGTGAATGTATTTACTCCAATGACCTCACACGGGTGGAGCTCTGCACCCAGTTGGCTGGCAGTTCTCGCTCTCTCTCTGTGTGGGTCAGGAACAGGATCTCTCTAAATCTGTATAACACCCCTGTTCCGTAGATCCCTGGGACAGCTCCTGTTGTGGGGGGCGGGGTGGGGCTGCTGGGCAGGCTTTGTGTTATTTGGGGAGCTAGGATACAGTGGGCTGGCTGCCAACACATGCTCCATGCTGGTGGTGCTGGTTCTGATGAATGCCTATGCACTGTGTCTGCCAGAATTTGGCCCATAAAGTCAAAGTAACAATATGGAATGAGCTGGACCAATCAGCAGAGTCACAGGTGCCTGGCATGCTTAAAAGGAGAGATTTGCAGGCTGTACCATACCTAGACTTATCCCTCACTATCATTTTAACATAGAGAACAAGTGCACTTCAGTTTCTTGATAACATCATAACATGTTAGGTCTTTCAAGTTCATTATTTCTACACAGCTGGAATAATAGTTCACAATGACCAGGAAATGATGTCCTCTGAACTTGGCTATATCTGCAGCTAGTCTCTTCCATGGTCTCTCTGGAAGAGGTGTTTGTACGCTGTATGGCTCAGTATTGTCTCTGAAGTTGATTTGTATTCGATCTTCTTCCCAAAGTCCAGTATCGCCAAATATTCCATTGACTTCTACCTTTCTCACTAGGCTTGTTACAGCTGCCACCGAGAAAGTTGTTGGTCTTGGATCCAATACACTCTGAATGCAAGTTTTTGTCTTTGTATGTTGTTTCCATGGTGAACTGGCCCATGTAGATCAGAATCTCTCCAGGGCTAGTCAGAGCTGAGCCGGGTGACTTCAGCTCGGGGGGGGGCTTGAAGGTGATTGTAAGTCCCTTTCGAGATGACTGTGATGTCCGCTCCTGAGTCAATAGTCTTGCCATGAATATTCAGTTTAATCTCGGGGCAGGTTCTGTGTCATCACAAGTGACAGATCCCAGAAACAATGACTCTGGATTGTCTGTAATATGAGCCAACTCCCTGACAGCTTTGGTGTGGCAAATAGCTGCAAATTGTCCATATTTCATGCATTTATTACACCGTGTGCCTCTGGCTGGACATGCATCATATCTTGGGATGTGACTTTTTCCACATCTTATGCATGTAGACAGGAATTTGTTCCTTTTAGCCTGGGAGTTCTCTGCTCACCTCAGGAGTCTTATAGTAATGGCTTTTAGCACTCAGGCTGCATCTCATAGAATCATAGAATATCAGGGTTGGAAGGGACCTCAGGAGGTCATCTAGTCCAACCCGCTGCTCAAAGCAGGACCGATCCCCAATTGTTGCCCCAGATCCCTAAATGGCCCCCTCAAGGATTGAACTCACAACCCTGGGTTTAGCAGGCCAATGCTCAAACCACTGAGCTATCCCTCCCCCCCTAAACCACATATAACGTATGCATCAAACATAGACAGAACCCTTTCATAGTCATCTTTGTGACTGTCTATAGCAAAGTCAAAATATTTAAATATGTGCTCTGTCTACTTCCCCATAGTATAAATTAAAGAAGATACCTCTATATCTCGAGTTTCTTTGTGGAGGTTGATAGCAATGCAAAATCTTGCAAAACATTGTTTCATCTGTCTATTATGAAGGTTTGTCAAAGCTGAAGTTCTCTGGGGCACTGAAGAGTGGCAGGTTGATGAGATCCTGCAACTTTTGTTGCTTTGTTCCTTAGGTTTGCAACTGTTGTAGCTGTTTTACTTCTGTTTCTGTTCTTAGTTTACTTCTGACACCATGTCATGCTTCCGTACCAGATACGGACTGGTTACAGAGCTTGCTTATACATACCAGATGTATTCATCATATGATCCTTTAATGTCCTGTTGGGTGTAGCTAAGGTTAGCTTAAATAAGGTATTTTACACACTTTGCCACATTGTGGCAGAACAGTATAATACCATTTAGCATTTAATTTAGAGACACACCCAGTATAGTAAATAAATAACCAGGAAGCCAACTGATTCCTCCAGGCAAACAGCAAAAGGGATGTTTCTCTGGCCACCTGCTGAGGAGTTTGGGGATGGTTCAGAAATGGAGGTTTCTGGTGCGTTGCCCATCTATCTCCAATGTTTGTACCTTGTTCTTTTCCAGCTGGGTTGGCTACGAACAGGCAAATGGCAAAGGGGAGCAGTTTGTGTTTGAAAAGGGCGAGTATCCCCGCTGGGATTCCTGGACCAACAGCCGGAGGAGTGACACCATTGGCACCCTGAGACCCATCAAAGTGGTGAGAGTGCTTATGTCAGACCCCAGTCAGTATAATCTGGCCAGGCAAAGACCTAATCATGAGCCTTTTCTGGGGTCCCCTCAGACTGAGAGCTGGAGCCAAAATCCTGGACAAAACCAGCTGTTCTGAACTTTTCAAAAAGGCAAGTCACTGTGTCCTCAAATGCCTGCAGCTCCTGCAGTTGCCATATTTGTGAATATACCTGTGCACAGATCTCCACTGAAAAGTTGTATGTCTGCAGGAAAATAAGAAATGTCCTACTAGGTCGGACCATGGGCCATCTAGGCCAGTGTCATGTCTCTGACAGTGGCCAATGCCAGATGTTTCAGAGGAAGGTCTGAGGGAACCCTAGAATGAACAGTTATGGGGTAACCTGCCACTTCCGAAGTTTGTTGGTGAACGGCTAAGGATGATCACTATACAGGTCTGCTCACACTCAGCATTCCACCTCCTGTGAGCAGGCAAAGCTCCTCCTGACTAGGGTGACCTGGGCCCACTCTCTTTGCACTTGAGTTTTGTTTGGAGGCTTGAGCCATCTTCTCCGACTCCCTGATAACTTCCCTGGAAGATGCCTGGCCTCGTTGCTAACACTGACCCCGCATCTCTCCTCTCTTCAGGACAGCCAGGAACACAAGATCGTCCTCTATGAAAACCCCAGCTTCACTGGCAAGAAGATTGAGATAATAGATGATGATGTGCCCAGCTTCCATGCTCATGGCTACCAGGAGAAAGTGTCATCTGTGCGGGTGCAAAGTGGCACGTAAGTACCTGGGGCAATGGGTCCACGTGACCCTGTTAGGATCTGGGCACTGGAGTCTTCTTTGCCCTGCACTTGGAATCTAGGAACTGAGGGACAGAATCATTGATTGCATCAACTTCTGTCCTTAGAGCCCGGATTGTCTCCAGTTTCAGGCATCGCCATAACAACCCTAACCCAGGTGGTTAGACTCCAGGCACAACTGCTGTCCTGCAGTCAGCATCTCTGCTGCTCAGCCCTCTGCCCTGGGCCTGGAGCTGAGCAGGAGAACACATATTGCTAATGGGGCTTGAGAATAAATAACCTTTTACCCTGATGCACGGAGCCTCCTGAGGCCAGTGAGGTGTGTGAGGAGGCCAAGGATCAAGTGCCCTAGTCGGGTGGAGCAGGGCAGGAGGGAAGCTCCCAAACTGGGTCAGCCCCAAGGTGGTGGCTCCTCTGGGTTCAGGAAGCCCTTTCACTCAGAGGCTTTGAAGAGAGCTTTAATGGCTCTACAGCAGAGGGCAGTGCTGGCTGACGCCATGGTGCTAGTGAGAGCCCTCCGGCCACATCCCCTTGCCCCGGCCAGGCCAGGGACAGAGTTCGATTCACCACCCACAGGGGCGGGGTTGCCTGGGTGGGAGGAGACACCGGGTGCTGTCCCAGCTGGGTTTCCCTGACACCTGGGTTCTCCCAGTCTCTGACTTGGCTGGGCTTTCCCTTTGCAGCTGGGTCGGATACCAGTACCCCGGCTACAGAGGCTACCAGTACCTGTTTGAAAAGGGGGACTATAAGGACAGCTCAGAGTTTGGTGCCCAGCACCCCCAGATTCAATCCGTCAGGCGCATCCGGGATATGCAGTGGCACCAGCGAGGGGCCTTTCACCCCACCAACTGAAGCCCCTGCCCCTCCTGAGTGCCCAGAGGAGAAGGAAACTGGAACCAGTTTTGTGTGACCTGCTGCTGTTCCCCAGTGGCCTCGCTCTCCCACATGCCGCTGCGTGAGGAATGCCGCTCTGCTGCTGAATAAAGCTTTGAGTTTCAAATGCTCAATCGAGTCGGGCACCTCTTTTCTCGGGGCGGCGAGACACTTGAAATCATTCTCTGAGTTTGCACTGGGGGACGTGCTGGTGGGGGGCTGCTAGCTCTGAGCTCCTCAGAGCCCATGTGCGCCTCGGAGACCCCAGGGTGTGGAGTGGAGGCCCAGCATGAACACAGGGCAAAGGCACTTGTCATTACCCCCCTCTCCCCCCCAGCCCCGCACTAAGAGTCGGGTCAGTCACCCTCCCCTCCCCCAACCCCAACCCCTGGGCAGCAGTGACTGAAAATTAAGAATTAAAGGCATGGAGCCCAAACGCACACCTCAGCCAGCAGGGATAAGACAGGAAACCAAGAGCTTACAGCAATTCCCTCTGGGGTCTGAGCTACTGAATTCAACAGGAAGTGCAGTTTGTCCAGGACTCTGCAGACTGACCGGCCTGTGCAATGCCCTCAGACCATTCTGGTGTTTGGCCTGCCCCGGTGTGGGCCCGAACGCCCTGCCATGGGCGTGCATGGTTGCTTGGTTGCTGCTGCGTTTTTGTGCATTTCAGTAGGAAGAGGGTCAGCCACCCCTAGAACGACCCTGGAGCATCTTCCTGCTAGCTAGTGCCATAGATCAGCAAGCTGGGGTTGGAAGACAGGCCAGATTCACCCGGGCCATTGATGTCAGGGGCTGCACAAGGGAGGAATTTTGCCCTGTCAGTCAGTTACCCTAGTAACGAAATCCCATTGCATATAACGAATACTATGAAGTCGAGAATACTATGAACCCCTTTAGTGGCTCCCTCAGGAAGTGTGGCCAAGCATGGAATAATGTAGAATCACTCCTTGCTTGTGTTCCACGGAGGTTTTGAACATCCTGGATGCGGTCTCAGCTCATTCTGTGTCTCACTTTCTCTGTGTATTCGTTATTGCATGGCTGTTATCAAATGCAACAGAGCTTCTAAACAAACCGGGGGCGGGGAGGCCTTTTTTCAGACCAAACCGTTTGTCCAGTTAAAGTGTAGGGATCTGTCTTTCACAGCAGAGTTAAGAGCCACAGTAGATTCAGGAACCAGGCAATTCTCGGCAGCTGTGTTATCTAAAGCAAGGAGTCTGGCATCAGGACTCCTGGGTTCTCGTTCTGAGTCTGCCACTGGCCTTAGACAACTGACTTAATCTCTTTGGGCCTTTCGCATCTGCCATTGGTCACAGGACCAAAATAATAATTACCTGCTTCACTGGGGTGCTGTGAGACTTAACTGAAGCTTGTGCAGGCATCTGTAGACGTGCAGAGGAGTGTTGTTAATAGCAAGAGCTATAAAAGCTCTCTGGAGTTCCTCCTGGACATAGTACCAGCCCAGGATGTTCTGAACTAACCCACATGCCCTGGGTGTTGTGTGGGGCAAGGCGTCCGGATAGTCAGCCCCCTGCTCCCTGGCTTTTAGTCTGATGCTTTACAAGCTCTTTGTAGACTAACTGTTCCACGCAGTCTTTGCTCAGGAAGCCAGATTCTCTGGGTGGCCACTGTGTGTCACCACAGCCTCACCCAAAGCTGCTTAATGTGACATTACCATTTAGATGTTATTGAGAGCCTGGCCCTGTTCAACACAGTATCCCACCTCCCGTCACCAGCGACCGAGGGTGGTGTTTGGGTTTTACTTGCTGCCTTCCCCCAGCTGAAGGGAAAACCCGCAGAGCTGATTGAAGCTGGCTGTAAAGCTGGGCTCCCAGCAGCAGTGTAAACACTCAGTGATTGCACTGGCTCCTTGCTGTCCCTGCAGACTGGGGGGCTGGGGCCGAAGGGGGTGAAGTGCTGTGTATGAGATCGCACCATGTGGGTGAGAATGGAGAACGTGGTCTGTGGGAGATGACTGGGTGGGTGGGGATGAGGCAGGGGAAGGGAAGGGAGCTGCTTCAGATTGTTGCTGCATTTTCACGTGACCATGTGGCAACTTCCAGAAGAGAGCTGCGCTCTGGTAGAGGGGGAATCGGGACCACAGCAAGAAAGCCCCATAGTCTAAAAAGAATTAAGGCAGCACATTCCTATAGCTTGAATTGCTCTTAAAATGCCAGCATATTCTTCCGGTAACTGGAACACAGACAGCCCCATTCAGAGGTTGTGTAAAACCCTCCCCACTTCCAGCTACTCACACCCACGGTGCTGATGTCTAAATTGTTGTAATTTATGCACTGAGCAGCCAGAAGAAGGGGCTAAATTGAAACCAATTCCATCCAGCAATAAAATTCACCTCCTAACACCTGCAACTACTGCCTTGGCATGCAAACTTCCCCCACTCACGCTGCCTTAGCCATCAGCCATATGGGTGTAAGTAGCACAAAGGGGATTTAACTTACATTACCTCTGAATGTGGCCCTCCGTCCCTTGAGGTGGGGGTAAGGGGGAGTGGAGGCTGCTGAGCAGACTGTCACAGCATCCCAGAGATCAGGTGCCATCTCTGCATACATCCTGCACCATTGGATCTCTCAGTGTCTGAGTTCCTGGTATGGGCAGCAGGAGTTAAGAACTCACTCACTGCTGTGCTTGGATCTGAATTCTGAACACATGTAGTAGTCGGATTCCGGCGTTTGCCCTGAGGGTTAGGTACGTTCATGGCATGTGGGTGTTTTTAACCAGTGACAATCTGGTCCGTTGTCCTCAAAGCCAAAATGGCCAGGAATTTGTCTCCACCACTGAGGCGAAAATGACCAATGAAACCTTGTGGAAGGTCCATCCCTGAGTGTTGGTGTCCTGAGTGTTGGTGCAAATGTCAGATTGGTGCTTGGAGCATTGAAACAACTCAAGCCGTCCTTGTAACAAGCAGTTGAAAATCAATGTTTGAGCTCTTTCTGAGTGTGCTGGCCAGGAAGCCGGGAATAGAAATGCAACAACATGTCTTTGTTCTGAGCCTGGCAAGGTGTGGCCATTGAACCTGTACTTTATGCCTGATGGACATTGCAGGGTTGGCGGGTGATTACTGAGTGACTTAGCATCTGATTCTGTACCAGCTGTGGAGGTCTTACCATGACCGCTGGTACAGTCCCACCAACACCACGGCCAATGATGAAGCTGCAGATAATCCTTAATGAAACCCTGCTTTTAGTGAGGGGTTAGGAAAGGGTATAGCACCTGGGCAAGTACACTTGGGAAGTTTGGTAGCTGGCAGAAGAACAGGAATAGGTAGTGACTGCTTGAATTTGTGTCTGCCAATGACATGCTGACGGCTGTCTCACTGTTCCCTCACCCAAAGGAGTCACAAGCACATCTGATACAGCCCAGATGGTTTCACAAGGACGGTTACCAATTATCTCTTTGTTAACAACCGTTGGTGGTCAGCAGGCATGGATGTACAAGTTCGTAGATGTGCCGAACTTCGCACTGACCATTGGTGCCTGTTGACAAAACTGCACTTCTGACTTCAACAGCCAGTTAATGGGCCAAAGTTAGACTCATTCAACCAAAAGCTCCTATTAGAGATGAGTTACAAGACAGCTTTCCGCTTCAAATGGCTCATGGCCACTGCAGCATTAGAGACTGCAGTCTTGTTTTCTCTGTCATCCGATGAGGAATGGCATTGTGTCCAAGTCATTGTTGCTAACCACTGCCAACTCAGTGCTGGAGCCAAAGCCCTTCAAATGTCAGCCATCTCCTCAGTGAGGAGATGCTCACAGCAGTTTGAGGACTCAAACTGTAGCCTCACTTTTTTCTTAGCTCCAGCATGTTGTTCAAGAGCATAAGCAAAGGCCGAATGCTCAGTGTTGGAACGGCATCAAGTTGTTGTGGAAGAAGCTGCAGAACTCCACAGTCTTGGTTTTAACAGATCCATTGCACAGCAGTGAAACCTGCACAGTGAAGAAGCAGTGGACTGACATTTTTGATTCTCATCTTTATTAGCTGCTTCACATTAAGTGGCAGGAGAAGATCAGCACTGAGGACACTGTCTCCACCAGAACTGGGTACGTGTTCATGGCTTTCTCGGTATGGGCCTATTATCAGGAGGGAAGCTCAATGAATGATGAAGTACAATTACCAAGGAATGCCACGACTTTGTCAAAGATTTCGTGAGCCACGGAAGCTCTGGAGGTGCAATAAAATCACCAACGACAGGCACAGATTGAATGTCCAACTAGACCATCTTAAGGAGCTGGACAGAGATTGATCCGGGTGGCGTTTGATCTGCAAGGGGAGGTTATGTCCTGCTGGGATTTGCCAGGACAACAGTGATATACTGTGCACAGTCTTGTAGGAAAAGCCAATATACATCGCCTAGTAATTGGGTGTACCAAGAGTATTATTGCTAGAACTGGCCCCAGTCCTGCTGCCCTTCTCCGTGAGAGAGAGGTTGGTTCTTGCGAGAGAACTGAGGCCGGAATTCCCCCGTTACAGCTCTTACCAGCTTGCTGTCTGTTTACTGTCACATTGCTGAAGGGAGAGTCAGTTTATGGGTTACTGCTGTGCTGCCAGGCACACAGGCGAATCTGACGCGGGCGCCAGACAACTGCAAGCAATAACATTGGCCGGTCGAGATTTCTCACCTCCATTCCTGATTGTTTTCAGTTGTCTGACTGCAGCTGATAACCGGCGCTTGCTGGGAGCTGTCGTTGACTTGCTCAGGAAAAGCTGGCTTCTACTGACCTCCGGGCCAATGGACAACTGAAGGGGTTTCTACATCCGTCCCAGACAGCAACTTCGGGTAAGGGACAAGGAAACAGCTTAGACAAGGCTCACCCCTTTTTTCTTTTGTTCTCGCACTTTGCTTTCCATGGCGTCTCCCGGCAGCGGCCTTCCACGCCCAGACCCTGCCCTTCTCTTACTCACCCCGTGAAACCAATATGCACTAACCTACCTCAGCCTGGTGCCCTGCCTGGCCCAGCTTTTAGAAGGGATAAGACATGAAAGCTGTGAAAGGGTCTGTGCCGTCTTTCAGGCTGTGAGCCCCTCGGGGCAGGGACTGCCCCAATACCCATGCCCTGTGTAGCACCCAGTCAAAGTTCAGTGCCGTGCGATGGCCAGCCAAGGAAGACACCGGTGC